CTATCCTTCCAGGCTGTATCTCATGGAGAAATACTTGGCCAAACACTTGCTTCATCTCACCATCTGATCGAAAATGGACAGAACTTCCCATTGAAGAAGATTTGAGTTAGATTTAAATTTAAGTTTTATTGTGCTGATGGCCAAATCTACCTGGATGGAAATGGCATGTTCCATTGCTGAAAGCTACCCTCCATTATCTTCCCCAATGACCATGTTTATGAATACCTTAGGGTAATGTGAAGTAGACAGTATGTGAACCCAATTCAATCTGTAGACACTCATTGTGAGTGAATCGGTAAATTACAACAATGGAAGAGTGAAATGACTTTTATAAACATATTTGCACATTGGTTACTCTTTACTTCAATGTTTAATTTAAGTTGACAAAAATGTCAACCTACCAGGCAGGTGCTCGGATTCAATATTCAGGCACATGACAGATCTGTGATTCTGGGGAATATAATTGTTTCCACAATTGGATTAAAGTCATTAGCATAGTAGGGGCAACACCTACAGTATACAGTGTGAATAGAACTCTGACAATGCTGGAAAAAGTGGATAAACAAGCTTCAAGGCTGGCTTGTCCTCAGTCATGTGACTAGATAGTCCTGAAGTCGTTTATCGAGATTACCAATGGGAGAGCAGCAGTGTTCACTCACAGCAAAGGCAAGTGGGGCAAAGGTGGGATATCTGATCTTGAATCTGAGCTTAAATGTTAACTGTGGGGTTGCAAGGATATATTGGTGATCAAATTTCATTAGGTGTTTGTAATTAAGTGGCATGGATAGTAAAACAAAAGCTAGTCGATAGCAGTCTGCATCTACCATGTGTTTTACAAGCTGCTGAATCAAGCTCTTCTAATATATCTGTCTAGACGAAGAGCTGTCAAGGGTAATGTGCATTTCTATCACTTGGTGGACAGGAATCTTCGATGTTTTGATTATGTACCCATGTTGTGATATGGCTGATTTAGAAGAATAAACTGACTAAAGATTTCACGTTACCTTTTTGTGCTTCCTTGTCTAAGTGAACAGATTAAATGAATACTTTTGTGCACGCTGAATGGAAGTTCTTCTTAGGTGCTGATTGCTGCAGATTAAAGTGGCCTGCATCAAATGCAATGAAGAGGAAAAGCTACAGGAAGATTTCTCATAGCTCTGAGAATATGATACATTGTTAAGTGTGTGAACAAGCACAGACACGCCTGATGCCAGCAAACTTTGCTTTAATGAGAGCTGACGCCTTTACACTGTTATTACATTTTCTAAGTTTAAAGACACAAGTGATGCAATCAGCTGAACTGTTTCCAAAGCAACAACCTTAGCTGGCTCAGGCATTTTATTTCTTTATAAAGTATTTTAAAGCATTTATCAGTGAGAACATTTAATTGTACGTTTGGGTTTGATTAATAATCATAGTATCCTTAATGCAGGAAAGACCCTTATTTCAGACTTCTCTTTCATAATGGACATTGCCTGGTTTTAGTGGAAGTTTTACTACATCCAGAAGATAAAATTTCATAAAATTGCTTTGTTGGCTCCTACTGAAAGGTAGTGTGATCTGATAGTTTACCAATGACAGGCTGCAGTTGAGTTTTGGTTCTCTGAACTTCTGTGGTCCGTTCAGTTTTTAGCAGCTGATGCTATGAGTCCACTGTCTGCTGCACAATTGAGCTTTCAACACAAAAACACTGCGCTTCGAGAAATGAGTAACACAAAATTGGTTTGCAGGTGGTCATGGCCCAAGGGTCGTAGTGAAAGTGTGATGCTTTAGTCATCATAAGAACATGAGAACATAAAATAGGAATAGGACCAGGCTATTCAACCCTTCCAACTTCTCCAACATGCAATAAGATCAATTCTATGTCAGTTCTAGCTACCCGCATGTTTCCCACATCTCTGGATTCCCTCAGCATCCAGTTAGCAAGACCATCTAAAAAGGAAGCAAACTGATCACTGGGCTTTATTCCCAGAGAGTTAGAATTGAAACATAGGGAAGTTAATGCTAAAGATATATCAAACCTTGTCCAGGCCATACTTAAAAATATGTAGTTTTGGTGCCATATTTGTAAAGAGGAGACTGTGCAGACCCAAGAAAATACATGCAGTGTGCCTTAATTACTACTGCCCAATAGCTCTGACTTCAATAATCATGAGGCTGGTCATGGCATATGTCAACTCCAATCTCCCAAACTGCCTCGATCCCCTACAATTTGCCTACCGACATAACAGGTCCTTAGGGGACGCCATTTCCCTAGTCCTGCACACATCCCTGGAATATCTGGACAACAAAGACACCTATGTCAGACTCCTGCTCATTGACTACAGCTCCGCCTTCAGCACCATTAACCCCTCCAGACTGATCTCAGAACTGCGTGACCTTGGTCTCGGCTCCGTCCTCTGCAACTGGATCCTCAGCTTTCTGACCCACAGATTGCAATCAGTGAAGATAGGTAACTGCACCTCCTCCACAATAACACTCAATACTGCCCCCTCCCCCCAAGGATGCATCCTCAACCCTCTACTGTATTCCCTATACACCTATGACTGTGTTGCCAAATTCCAAATGAACTCCATCTACAACTTTGCAGACGACACCACTGTAGTGGGACAGATATCTAACAACGATAAGCCAAACCACAGAAGGGAGATAGAGGGCCAGGTAACGTGGTGCAATGAAAACAATCTGCCTCTCAAGTTCGGCAAAACTAAAGAACTGATCATTGACTTCAGAAAGAAAGGAGGAGAACACATCCCCAGCTACATCAACAACTGAGGTTGAGAAAGTGAAGAGCATCAAGTTCCTCAGAGTGACATTAACCGACGACCTGTCCTGGACTTCCCACGTAAATGTGACAGTCAGGAAGGCATAACAATGCCTCTTCCTCTTCAGGCTCAGGAAATGTGGCATGTCCATAAGGTCCCTCACCAACTTCTATAGATGCACCATTGAAAGCATACTGTCCAGGTGCATAACGGTCTGGTATGGCAACTACTGTGCCCAGGACCGTAAAGAACTGCAGAAGATGGTGTGTACAGCCACTACCAGACCATCACAGAAGCCAACCTTCCATCCATGGATTCCATTTACACAGCCAACATCATCAAAGTCCCATTATACCCTGGTAATGACGTCCTACAACCTCTTCCATCAGGCAGAAGATACAGAAGCCTGAACACACGCACGAGTAGGTTCAGGAATAGCTTCTTTCTGGCCGTTATTGGACTGTTGAAGGGGCTGTAGCTTCAAATAATGTAAATTGCAATGTAACCTGTATGACTCTAAGTTTTTTTGATCTGTACATCCTTTGCTTGATGTGATCTGCCTGCACTGCTCGTAAACAAAGCTTTTCACTGTATTTTGGTACACGTGACAATAAATCAATCAATTAATCAGTGAAAAGACTCACATTGCTATCAGTAAAGGATTGACAGACTGGTTGTCTTTTCTCTTGAAGAAAGAAGACTGGGGTGACCTAACAGACGACTTTAAAATCATGAAGGGTTCAGATAAACAGATGCAGAGAGTTTCATTTAGTGGGGAAAGACATAACTAGATGCTATCAATGTAAGATAGTCACTAAGATATCCAATAGGGAATTCAGAAGAAACTTCTTCACCCAAAAAATGGTGAGAAAGTGGAACTCACCCCCACAAGGAGTGGTTGAAGAGAAATAGTATTGATGGATTTAGGAGAAACTAGACAAGCATACAAGGGATGGAGAAACTGGGAAAATGGGATGGAATCCTTGCAGGAATCAAGGTGTGAGGATGGATATATAAATAACTGTGGAACTTGGTGGGTTTGTAGTGTATATCAGTAGCTAGCCTATCCCCAGAATTGGAAACAGATGTTGATGAAGGGAAGGGAAGAGTCAGATATGGACCAGGTGAAGGTGAGGGCAGGACAGAGATTGGAAGCGAAACTGATAATTTTTTCTAATTCTGAAGGAGAGGGGGAAGCATTACTGATGATGTAATCAATGTCCCAGAGAAAGAGTTGTGGAGAGGAACCTGAGTAAGATTTGAACAAGGGATATCCCATGGACCCCACAGAGACAGGTACAACTGGGGCCTATGTAGGTACATCAGACCTATATTTCCTAGTGTTTAGTAGAATGAGAGGTAATCTCACTGAAACACAAAATTCTTCTAAGGATGCCTAACCTGAAGAAGTTACCCTCCTCCCTCCGGACAAACCTCAAGGGATCTCTCTCCCACTGCAACTCTCCCTTTTCTGATGAAGGGTCTAGGCCCGAAACGTCAGCCTCTCTGCTCCTATGATGCTGCTTGGCCTGCTGTGTTCATCCAGCCCTGCACCTTGTTGTCTCCAATATTCCTAAGGGCCTTTACAGGGTGCGTGCTTGCCATGGCCACACCTTTTGACTTAAAGAAAGTGAGAGGAGTTACAGGAGAAAGTCAGTGGGTATGTAGTGTATAGTGGTGGCCAGCCTATCCCCAGAAACTGATGTTGAGGAAGGGAAGGGAGGAGTTGGACATGGACCAGGTGAAGGTGACAGCAGGATAGTAATTGGAAGTGAAGTTGATAAATTGATAAAGCATATGAGGGAGAAGAGAATATTTGGAGGATTTAGCTGAGAGAAGTTGTGGGTGTGGCTCTAGTGGAACATAACCACCAGCATGGACTGGTTGGGCTGAATGGCCAATTTCTGAGATGTATATCAAATTTAATCCCAAGTGATTAAAAATTTGTCAATTTACTGTCGTAAACTTTTCCTTCTTCTGCTTTAAATGGTGTGTGCCTTAATCTGAGATTGTGACCTGAGTTCTGGACAGCGAAATTGATTTGTTGCAAATAGCTGAAGCCTAAGGACCGACCCTTTTGGTACTTTCATTAGTTACAGTCTGGCGGCTTGAAAATGACCTACTTATTCCCACCCTCTGATTTCTGTCTAATAATCAATTCATAATCCATGTTAATATATTTACCTTTAATCCCATGAATCCCAATAGTGTGTTACTAACCTCTTCTGGGAACCTTATTGAAAATCCAAATGTAGTATATCCAGTAGGCTCCCCTTAATATACTGTGCTAAGTACAACTTCAGAATACTCTAACTGATTCATCATTTATCATTGCCCCTTCAGAAATCCATGTTGACTGTGCAATCCTATTAGGATTTTGTAAGTGTTCACTTGTGTCATCAGTTCAGTATTTGAGATTCTGTGCGCTGTCATTGTGCAATATCTTAATGTACATTGGGCGTAATACTTCCCTGTGAAAGATGGAACAAATACATATTCCAATAGCATTTCTCATAACCTTATGACATTCCAAGCCATTCATAGCCAATTGAGTTCTCTTACAGTGTCGTTGCTGCTGTAATGTAGGAAAACAAGAAACCAGTGTTTCTCATTTATTACAACCTGAGGTTAACAGGGCATTGATGGACCTGTTGAAACTCGTTTTCGTAGTTTCGACGCATTTCAATCCTTCGCTGTCGTGTAACACCTTCCTTTGTAATCTTGCATTTAGTTTACAGTCAAGTTTCGATTGTATCCATTCTACATGTTCTTCTGACAATCTGTCTTGAATGCAGGAAAATGACTTACCTGTCTCATGGAGAAACAATGTGAATAGGCACTGTTCCAAAGGAAGAAACGTGAATCGGGTGATCAAAAGCTTAGCTGATAAAGTAGATTTTCAGGAATGAGAAAGAGAGAGAGATGGGGTCAAATAAAATGTAGACAGTAAAAGGCATTAGTCACCTTTGTAAATATGTGATAGAGACAAATGTGGAAAACATGTAAATCATCTCCGGAGTCTATATTATCACCAACAGTAGATGCGTTAGGTAGGACCAATAATTAGAAGGCGGTACCAAGAAAGCACCTTCAGTCTGTTGAGAAAGTGACTTATATACGGCACATGACTGCAAATATTTCCGTAGTCAGAGGCGTAGGGTATATTCATGGAAGAGTGTAAAAGTAGTATTTTACCACCAATACTTTGGTAAATATGTTTGTTGTTTCTGAAAGTATTTCAATTACTGTTGCCTTGTTCCTAATAATCCCTGCCCCACCCCAGACAAGACCAGAAATTTAAACACAGGTGGAGTGAACAGACATCAGCCCCTCCCTGAACACCTGCACAGTTTGCTGTCAGCAAATGTGTGTAGCACGTGACATGATTGCCTCACTGCCGCGACTTTCATCCAGTTTATCAATCACGGGTTTGCTTTGGCTCAGTGCCACATTACTTACTGGCGGGGCTTCACTACACAGAGTGGGTAATTTCTTTCATTGTCAGGTGTCTCTCTTTTCACCTGAAGGTACTGTGTTCTGATTCTGTGGCTCTGCACAGGGCTCCGTCTTCACATTTGAGAATGGGTAGTGGGTATTATCAAAAAACATTGCAGCCAAATACATTCCTGATCCAACCAGTCAAGCACACATGAGTAGGCATGACCGGATATTATTGGATAGGGATCAACATTAAGAGGTCTGGCTTAGCGTCCTTCACCAGCCAAGACAATGATATCCATTGCAACAATTCAGTTATTACCGTAGTGGCATAAAGCAATTTAGCACAGATCAAAGATTGAACCAGGAGCCTGCCTGAATACGTAACATAATGCCGCCATCAACTTATATATTCTCAAGGGTGAAATACTAAGATGGTGAAATACTAAGATGTTGAAATAAAAATGGAAAATACTAGAAACTCCCAGCAAGTCTGACACATCTGTGGGTAGAGAGAGAGCGAGCGAGAGAGTTGTGAATATTTGATGGACTGGATTTTCTTAAGCACTTCTGGATCCCAATGCCACATTCAAATAGGATCCTGAATGTGCCCTCCGCACCAGTGACGCCAGCTGAGCAATCGTCCATGTAATGTAATTGTTCACCTCTAGGATCACTGTTTTACTAAGCACAGGTGTGGTCTCCCATTCAGAGGGCTGCCCACCTCTGTGTACCAAGCAGACTGACTTCTCAGCCAACTCCTGGGAATGATCCCCCACACTGGGGATGCACAAGGGTGCCGACCTGCTTTTCTACCTTCCTGTTTTCCCAGAGCCCCACCTTCAAGCCTGCATAAGGCTCGAAAAATCTCATCCAATGTTTCAGTCATTGACTTGTTATCAAAACCACATTAACATGCTGTATCAAAAAGGTTCCTGGATTTATCAACTTTTAAAATGATAACTTGTTAAACTCCTAGTTAGCTCTACATGTACCATCTTGCTCCTGAAAATTGTTTTTGTTTAATCCACATCCTCAATTCATGTGGCATGTCCTGTATTGCTCATTATGTCTGCTCTAAACAATCAAAAACAGATTTCACTTGTTACTGTAACTGATTGCAGCTTGGCTTATGTCTGAAAATTATTCGTCATCTCACGATTTCTAGGGCAACAAACCCTGTCAGGACGCACACTGAGAATTCACTTTTAAGCTTATTGTCATTCATAGTTACATGAAGCTGAGACCTGGAAGAATTCCAAAAGATTGTAGTTGCAAGTATGTTCTTTTTTTAGTTGCAAGTACATTGTCTGTTTGAATGCTACAAATTAGTAGAACAGGCAGGGTGTTGCATCACCGGCTGCTTGCTGTTTGTAATGTGATTTCAGTTACAGAATGGTGTCTAAGTCTAGGAGAAGCAAATTCATTCTTCCTTGAATAGCTAGCTCATTGTATCAAAGTGTGAGATTTCACACTATAACATTTCCAAGTATGAAACCTTGTTTTGTCCAGTGCAATTGTAAGGCTTGTCCTTTGCTGTTTCTCAAACATGATTGTTGACAAGCATTTTTTGTTTGGATCTAGGCAGGAGACAAACATTATCATCCGAGTTGTGCACGATGCAGCAAATGCAACCAGATGTTTACAGAAGGGGAAGAAATGTACCTGCAAGGTAAGGTGTCATTCCTTTCAAAATATTTAAGTAAAGAATATTTAGTTCAATCAAGATAAGAAATCGTGCTGCTGGGAGTTTAAATATCTACCTGCTTCTGTCACACAGTGTCAACATTGACCCTTTCAAACCAAATATGTCATGATCAGATGCAAATTAAGGCTCACTTTTGCGCCACCCCAAGACAGTACCTTAGCAGACTTCAGTAAACCTTTCTGTTTCAATGCCATTCTTGTTTTGCTTCATATCCAGGTTTCCTGAAGTGTGAATTGTTTTATGGCATTAACTTACCACAAGCAGGATTAGTACTGTTAATAGCAGCTCACAAGAAAGAGGAGACTTTCATATCATCAACTCTACTTGAATCTAGGTTCTGTCCAGGATTGGCCAACTTTTCAGATGTGAGTTCTTTTTATATGCGTAATCACAGGCTTATTGATGCTGGGGTTGAATAGCAAGGAAAATAGATTTTAATACATATTTCTTATTTAGGTACTAAAAGAACATAGGAGCAAGATTAGTCCCATTCAGTAGGGTAGGTGATGGCCTTGTGGTATTATCGCTGGACTGTTAGTCCAGAGACCTAGGTAATGCTCTGGGCACCCAGATTCGAATCTTACCACGATGGATGATGAAATTTGAATTCAATAAAAATCTGGTATTAAGAGTCCAATGACAACCATTGTCGAAAAACCCATCTGGTTCACTAATGACCTTTTTAAGGAAGGAAACTGTCATTCTTTCTTGGTCTGGTCTACTTGTGTAGTCCAGACCCACAGCATTGTGGTTGACTCTTAATTGCATTCTGGGCGATTAGAGATGGGTAATAAATCCTGGTCTAGCCAGTGATGCACTCATCCCATGAATGAGGAAAAAAATAGCCCATCAATTCTGTGCTATCATTCAATTAGATCATTGCTGATCATCTCTCTCTCAATGCCACCATCCCAATGACATCAAGTGACAGGCAGGCAGTTGCTAGAAATGTATCAATTACTGGAATCAATATTGAGAAATAGGATTAACCGTTACTTCGAAAGTCACAGATTTATCAGGGATAGTCAGCGTGGGTTTATTAAGAGATGGTCTTGGCTTATTAATCGAATTGATTTTCTTGGGGAAGTGACAAGGAAGATTAATGAGAGTAGAGTAGTGGATGTTGTCTACAACAAATCCTCATTAATGTGGGGATGAAGGCACAGTCCTCCCATGGATAACAAAAACTCTGATGTCTCTACAGTGTAAATCTCCTATCCACTACAAAGAACTGGATACCACGATGGGAAAGAAAAAGATAGGGTTTAGGGCCGATGGTAGTGAATCTGTGAATAATAAGGAGTGTTGTTTTCACATAGTCTCATAGTCGGAAAAGTTAATGTCCATGGGATACAGGGGAATGTGGTGAGTTGAATTCAAAATTGGCTCAATTACAGGACAAAAGCATAATGGTTGATGGATGATTTTGCAAATGGAATGCTGTTTCACATGGCATTACACAGGGCTTGGTGTTGGGTCCCCTGTTGTTTGTGGCCTATGTTAATGATTTACACTTAAATGTGGGAGGCATATTTTGGAGATATTCAAATAACGCAAAAATTAGTAGTGAAGAGGGTGGCTATCCACTGCAAGATGATATCAATGGTTTGGTTGATGATGTGTAAAAGTGGGGAAATAAGAATTCAACTCAGAGAAATGCAATATTTTGTATTTGGGAAGGCCAAACAAGAAAAGGGATTATACAACAAATGGGAAAATAATGAGAAGGGCAGAGGAAATTAAAGCCCTTGTAGTGTATGTCTACAGGTCTGTGAAATAGCAGATAGATAATGTGCCTTTTTTTAAACCACATGAGATGCATTCCTTCATTGGGCAAGATGCAGTATATGAAAACAAGAATGCAATGCTAGAACTGTATAAGACACTGTTTACATCACAGCTGGAATTTTGTGTACAGGTCTGGTAACTACATTACAGGAAGGGCATAATTGCTCTATCAAAAGCATAGAGAAGATTTACAAGAATGTTTTAAGGGCTTGAAATTTCAACAATGAGGAAATATTAGATAGGGTACGATTGTTTTCCTTAGGACTGAATAGGCTGAGGAGTGTCTTATTTCAGATGTACAAAATGATGAGAGATTTGGATAGTGTTCAGGGAAGAGCTGTTTCCCCTAGCGGGGAGATCGGTTACCAGAGACACAGATTTAGGTGATTGGTAGAAAGATTAGAGACGGAGATAGGGAACATTAGGAAAATATTTTCAATCACAGAGTGATGGGTGTCTGGAGTTCACAGCCCAGTTTGGTGGTTGAAGTTGTGATAATACAATGGCTTTAAGATGTGTATTTTTTTCTGTTTTTTTAATGAAGAGAGGTTGAGACAGAGATACCGAGAAATCTTTTCCAAGCCAATAAAGTAAACAGCTGGTGAGGCCTTGGATTTATTTTTCGTTGGAACCATAGAAGCAGCAAGAATGGATGGGTCAAGCTCCCATAGAACCCAGGATTTTAGTTTTAGCTTTCAGTAGTTGCTGGGGTCTTGAAGCTGGATGTGGAAGCTGCTATACATCTCTCCCTGCTACAGTAAAACACTTGAGTTCTGTCTCTGTCTCTGTCTCTGAGAGTTTTCTTGATGTTCTTTCTTCCTGAACTGGAGAATTGCATGTGAGGCAATCTATTTTACTGAATTTGCTAAGGGTGTGTTTCTGGGATGTTACTATAGTGGAACAGTTACTGTTTAGTAGTTAAATGATCTATTATTCTGTCAAGTTTTCCAATACAGTTATTCCAATTACTCTTTCTTTTGTTTGTATTTTAACTATAGAATAAGAATAAAGTGTGTTTTACTTCAAGTCTGTTAGTTTGACCAATCGAATTGCATCCGGAACACAACACCTTACTCTAGCCTTTAAAAATAAGAAAATGTTGAGGTCTAGGCTATCTTTTTAATGTTTTGGGGGGGAGGGGCGTGGAATTTGGCCTGATCCATAACAAGGTAGAAACTCTGAGCTCAGTTAAATCAATCTGTAACAGCACTTGAACCACTATAACTTGCAAGGCTACAAACCAAGTGTTGGAAAGTATGACCAGGATGGACTGTTCTGTTCAGCTGATTCAGACATGATGGGTTGAATGGCCTGTCACTGTAGTGTAACCATTCTATGGTTCTGTCTGACGAGCCTGTGTTGCAGAGTCTCTTATAAGCATATCCTTCCTTTGATGTGGGGATTAAAGATGTTCACAGTGCTCTAGGTGAGTTCTCGCCAAGGCTCTTTACTTATGTTCTGAAACGTCCTTGAGATAAAGGTCAGTGTACCATTTGTCTTCCTAATTGCTGCCAGCCCTTTATGCTAACCTTAGATGACTTTTGAACAAGGGACATCCAGGTCCCTTTGGACACCTGCACTTCCCAACCTCTCGCCATTTAAAAAAAAAATACTGCTTTTCAATTTTTTTCTACAAAAGTGAATAATTTCACACTTATTCACATGTAAATTTCATCAGCTGTGTTCCAGCCCATTCACTTAACCAAGTACACTTGAAGCCTCCTTGTATCATCCTTATCACTTACATTCCCATCCAGTTTGGAGCCACATCAGCAAATTTGAAAATATTATGATTGGTCCCCATATCTAAATCATATATGGATTGTATTAGTTGAGCACTGACCCTTGTGGTTCCCCATTAATTACAGCCTACATCCTGAATGATCTATTTATTACAGCTCTCTACTTCCCATCTGTTAGCTAATTCTCAATTCAACCTTGTATATTAATCCCAATTGCATGCTCTAATTTTATTTGCTAAGTTCCTGTATGGGATCTTACCAAAAACCTTCTGAAAATCCAAGTACATCACATCCACTGGTTCTCCTTCATCAACACTGTAGGTAATATTCTCAAAAAACTCCAGCATTGTTGTCAAACATGATTTCTCTTTCTTAAATCCATGTTGATTCTACACAATTTTATCAGTCTTTTCTCAATGTCCAGTGATCATATCCTTTATAATAGTTTCTAATATTTTCCCTACTACTGACACACAATAGTTCTATAGTTCTCTACTCTCCTGCGTCCTCCCTTCTTAAATAGCAGTGTTTATATTTGCCGTCTTGCAGTCAGCAGGAACCTTGCTAGAATCTACAGAATTATGAAAGATAACTACCAATGAATTCATTATCTTTTTTGCTATTTCCTTTAACACTCTGAGATGAAATTCATCTGGCTCAGAGAATTTTTCAATCTCCTCTCCAGTTGACTTTTCAAGTACTACGGCTTTACTAGTACTGGTTTATTGTGGTTCATCACTTTCACAACTCCCTTGGTTATCTAGTACTTCTAAGAGATTTTGTATATCTTCTACCGTGAATACAGATGCAAAGTAATTGTTTCGTTTCTTCATCATTTTCCTGTTGTCCACTATAAATTCTCCTGGACCCAGCTGTAATAGGTTCACTTTTCTCCTACCTAATCTTTTCCTTTTCACATAACTAAAGAAGCCTTTGCAATCTTCCTTTATGTTCCATGGTAGTTCATATTCCTGTCTAAATCAGTTTCTTGATCCTCCTCATATGGTTTCTAAATTGCTCCCAATCCTCCAGTTAACCACTTCATCTGGCATCTTTATAAGCCACTTCTTTGGATGTAATGCAATTTTTATATTATTTCTTTACCCACAGTTGATTTATGTTTTTCTTTGGGTATTTCTGTCTGAGAAGAATGGATATCTGTTGTGAACAGTGTAGTATTTCTTTAAATACTAGCTATTGTCTGTCTGCCTTCCAAATCTTTTAGTGCATTTTTGCAATCTGCCATTGCCATCTTGTCTTCTCATACCTTCTTAATTTCCTTTCATTAAACCTTAATTTCAGAATGAACTATATGACATTCAAACTATGAAAATCTATTGTGTTATGGTAACTATCTCCGAGTGACACATTTACAGCAAGGTTATTAATTAATGTTTTCTCATGATATAATAATAAATCCAAAATGCTCGATACTTGATTCTGTTCCGTTAGACAGGGTTGGCCATCAAACTAAGAGACTTAAAGCAAACATGCAGATATGAACAACAAGATTTAAAATCCTCAAGAAATTAGAAACTACGGTGGATTTTTGCTTTTATCAAACTTTCAAACGGAGTATAACTTCTTTTAGTACAGTATATTACAACATCTTTAAAAGGCATTAGAAAGTAGAGATAGCATGATTGATTCCTACACTATGGTGGAGAAGTATGAAGAGGGGAAATTAGATGGTGTATTGCTCTGGCATACACTCTTAAACTCAAAATGGTAATTTTGGATTTCTGTGATTTCCAACTGAGATCAGGTAGTAGAACAAATAAGATGGGATATTTCTTAAAACATGGCACAACAAAGTCACGTTCTTTACAAATGAGTATTCCATTCCATAACGATACGAAGGTGGGTGGCGTTGTGGACAGTGCGGAGGGCTGTTCTAGGTTACAAAGGGACATTGATAGGGTGCAGAGCTGGGCTGAGAAGTGGCAGATGGAGTTTAACCCTGAAAAGTGTGAGGTGATTCATTTGGAAGGACAAACTTGAAAGCAGAATACGGGGTTAATGGAAAGATTCTTGGCAGTGTGGAGGAGCAGAGGGATCTTGGGGTTCATGTCCACAGTTCCCTGAAAGGCGCCACCCAGGTGGATAGAGTTGTTAAGAAGGCATATGGTGTGTTAGCTTTCATTAATAGAGGGATTGAGTTCGAGAGCTGTGAAGTTATGCTCCAGCTATACAAAAGCCTAGTTCGGCCACATCTGGAGTATTGTGTCCAGTTCTGGTCGCTTCATTACAGGAAAGATGTGGAAGTGTTGGAAAAGGTGCAGAGGCGATGTGAGGCGCTGCATTTTGGAAAGGCAAATCAGGGCAGGACCTTTACATTTAATGGTAAGGTCCTGGGGAGATTGCTGAACAAAGAGACCTTGGAGTGCGGGTTCATAGTTCCTTGAAAGTGGAGTCGCGGGTAGATAGGATAATGAAGAAGGTGTTTGGTATGCTTGCCTTTATTGCTGAGTGCATTGAGTATAGGAGTTGGGAGGTCATGCTGCGGTTGTACAGGACATTGGTTAGGTCATTTTTGGAATACTGAGTGCAATTCTGGTCTCCCTGGATGTTGTGGAAAGGAAGGATGTTGTGAAATTTGAAAGGGTTCAGAAAAGATTTACAAGGATGTTGCCGGGGTTGGAGGGTTTGAGCTATAGGGAGAGATTGAATAGGCTGGAGTTATTTTCCCTGGAGCATCGGAGGCTGAAAGGTGACCTTATAGAGGTTTATAAAGTCATTAGGGTGTTGGCTGTACCTCTTTAAACAAGTTACAGACAACTCTGACCAGAATGTAATGAATGAATTTGCCCAGATGTCCTACAGTACCAAAGTGATCAAATCAATACAAACTCAAGCCGGTATCAAAGCAAAACAATTCCGCTTTATCAGGAACAAAATTACAATAATCTTTGATACTAAAGGTTACTATACTTCCTGAGTCTCTTGTATACTTACATAGTCGCTGTTTCTCTGGCTTTGTCTCTGCAAAGCTGCCTTCCTTCTCTCTCGCTCTCGTTCTCACTCTCTCTCCACTATAGCTCACATCTCACATTTTCGAATGAACCTGTTAGACTATAACCTGGTGTTGTGTGATTTTTGACCTTGTCCACCCCAGTCCAACACTGGCATCTCCACAGCATAATTTTTCCATTGGGAAATCTGTTCTCAGAATAGCAAAAACAAGTATGTTGTTTGGATAATGTTTGGCCAACTTCTTTCATACCTGACCAAGAAATGTTTGGCACTGTTACCAGGTAACAATAACAACCTCCAGTTATGCCACCCCAAACTGAAAAAAAATACCTCCTACATTCACTAAGTCCAATCATCATAGCTGCCATTTATAGTATTGTCAACTTTTCCTGGAATTTATCATCTATGTTAGTGAAATAAGCTTTCATTTGCAACTCCCATTTAATGCTTAAAGTGGCTAGCGTTTATTATGTTTATCAAATACATTTTTTGTGTTGTTTTATAAGGTTAGGATTTTCGAAAGTGCAGGTCATTCTTCTATTGTGTTATTTTATTCGTTTATGAGATGTGGGCATTACTAGCTAGGCCAGCATTTATTGCCCAGAGGGTAGTCAGGAGTCAACCACATTGCTGTGAGCCTGGAGTCACATATCGGCCAGACCAGGTAAGGATGACAGTTTCCTTCTGTAAAGAACATTGGTAAGCCAAATGGATTTTTCCTGACAATCAACAATGGTTCATGGTCATCATTAGACCTTAATTCCAGACTTTATTTGAATTGAAATTCCACCATCTGCCCTGGTGGGATTCAAACCCAAGTTCCCAGAACATTACCTGGGTCTTTGCATTAATCGCCTAGCAATAATATCATTCGGCCATCATCTCCCCTGTATTAATCTCCAAACAGAGCTAAGAGTTTAAAAAAAAGAGATGATCGAAATGTTGCTCAGTTACTGGAACTGTTCATTCACTTTATAGAGCTTCATGTTCATATTCCACTCATTCCCCCCTGACAGGCTCCACGGTTTGGCATCCCGATTGTAAGAAGTCCACCAGGGCTGAAGAAAAACAAAGGGTGAGTACATAATGCAAACAAGCAACAATATGAGTGCTAATCATACACATATGTGTTATCCTGTTACCATGAATTTGATTAATCTAGTTCATATATCTATTTAGGAAACTATAGTACAGTTTACATCTATTCTGAGCCTGCTTCCCTCTTTCACTTTACCAAGTGGAGAAAGTTTCCCCTGCCTGTTGCACATAACATAAGTTTAAATTGCTTTCACAGAATGGGTCTATGATTTTGAATGTAGCGTGGAGAAAATATTATCAGAAATGGAGTGGTGTACAAGTAGTATTCATGAGGCATGGATGAAGATTAATGGTTGCTCCTTAGTTGTGAGATTCTGTTAATCACAGGGATTTTGATGTCCTTGATTTAGCATTTTTACAATTCTGAGGCCACAAAGTGGAGCAAGGGTATAACTTATCAGCATCAGCACAATGGCAGCTGGGGATCAGTCCTTAGTGCAACAGAAGTGACTTAAACCCATTAAACCCTGAATGGTGGAAATAGCATCCCATTTGATTAGCACTCGCTTCAGGTATTAAACATTCACTCCCTACAAGCAGAGGTGTATAGTGGCAGCAGTATGCACACTAACCACTGCAGCAACTCGCCAAGGCTCCTTCAGTAGCACCTTCCAAGCATCTGACCTCTAGCACCTTGAGGAATAAGGACAGCAGGCACACGGGAACACCATGACCTGCAAAGTCCCCTCCGAGTCTCTCACCAACCTGTTTTCACAATATATTGTCATTGGGTCAAAATCATAGAATCCCTGTACTGTGGGAACAGGCCATTTGGCCCAATAAGTTCACACCGCCCCTCCGAAGAGCATCCCACCCAGACCCATTCCCATATCCCTGATTTCCCCATGTCTAACCCACCTAACCTAAACATCCCTGGGCACCATGGACAATTTAGCATGGCCAATCCACCTAGCCTGCATATCTTTGAACTGTGAGAGGAAACCAGAGCACCCGGAGGAAACCCATGCAGACACTGGGAGAATGTGCAAACTCCAAACAAACAGTCGTCTGAGATTGGAATCGAACCTGGGTCCCTGCCGCTGTGAGGCAGCAGTGCTAACCACTGAGCCACCATGCTGCCTAAATCCTGAGACTCATTCACCAACAACATAAACAAAATTTGTAAAATTGAGGGAACATGTGAACAAGGAATAAAAGTCAATTAGAGGAACTTGTAAAAAGCAATTTTTCAAATTGTATTGCAGAGGTTTCAGAGAATGTGGATTATATTTCATTATAAATTTGTTGGCTTTCATCGTTGGATTTGGATAGCTCATGATGAAGGAGAACGGGATCAGTTAGCCTGCAGACACCAAATAAATCTGTAGTAAAATCATGCTATTAACCTTGAAGCCACAGTTGACAGTCAAATTCTTAAGCAGAACCAGTGAGTTATTTTATGCCATGTAATTGTTACTTTAAAGTTATAATGGGGCAATATAATAACATGCTTGCAATGAAGCAATGAACAAAGTAATATTGGCCTGTCACTCAGATTGATAATGAACAGTGAAACCAATTGTTTCTTTAATTAGAATGTTAATTGTTGTTAAGATCATTCAAACTTTCAAATCTATACACCCTCTTTAAATTAAAAAATAAATGGAAACCTGAATGATCTCATTAAAATTGGTAAATAGCACTTGCTCTATGGTGCAAAACATTTGTCCTGTTCGCTGAATTGACAAAGTATTATGATTTCTATCCATGTCCTCCATTCCTAACAGGGAAATTTTGCAACATTATCCTTCTATGGAGGTGTTGCAGGGACAGGAAAACAAACCTTCATCAGATTTTTCAATGGAATGAAGTAGCTGTATCATATGCCAGCATGCAGATTAATTAATGTCTTTGTGCGAAGTTCCTCTGGACCGTATTTAAACAGAGCCATTACTTTCTTTTTTCCAATACAGTGTGTCCTCCATTTTTTTGGCAAATATTCCAATTGTCAAGGTGTATGAATTAGGCAATCTCAACAAAAGAACAAGGGTATTGCTTTTTAATTGCATCATTTTTATTTAAGGGAGAAGATCAAATTATGCAAAAGGAATAATTCTTTTAAGATTATAAAGTATCGGAAAATAATTAGACCATTCAGCCCATCAAGCCTGCTCTGGCATTTGATCATGGCTGATATTCTCCTGAGTTCTCCCCATAGCCCTTGATCCCCTCACCAATCAAGAACTTAGCTATCTCTGTCTTAAAGACGCTCTGAATTGCCCTCCACAGCCTTCTGCGGCAATGAGTTCCTCAGATTAACCATGCTCTAGCAGAAGAAATTCCTCCTCATCTCAGTTCTAAAAGGTCATTTTTTCATTATGAAGCTGTGCTGACAGGTCCTTGTCTCTCCTCCTGGTGGAAACATTTTCTCCATGTCTGCTCTATCCAGGCCTCTCAGCATTCTGTAAGTTTCAATGAGATGGCCCCATCATCCTTCTAACCTCCATTGAGTACAGAATAAGAGTCCTCAACCACACCTTATATGACAAGCCCTTCATCCCTGGGATCATCCTTGTAAACCTGCTCTGGACCCTTTCCAATGCTAGCACATCCTTACATATGGGGCCCAAAATTGCTTGCAATATTCCAAATGTGGTCTGACTAGAATCTTAAATAGCCTCAGCAGTACATCTCTGCTCTTGTATTTTAGCTCTCTTGAAATTAATTAATTTCAATGCTAACATTGCATTTGCCTTCCTAACCGCCAATTGAACCTGCTTCTTAACATTAAGAGAATCCTGAACAAGGACTCCCAAGTCCCTTTATGCTTCAGATTTCCAAAGCATTTCCCATTTAGAAAACAGTCTCTGACTCAATTCTTCTGACCAAAGTGCTTAATCTCACACTTTGCCCTATTGTATTCCATCTGTCACTTCCTTGCTCACTCTCCCAGAATGTCCAAATCCTTCTGCAGCTTCCCCACTTCTGCAATATTTCCTGTCCCTCCACCTATCGTTGTGTCATCTGCAAACTTAGCAACAATACCCTTCATGTCATTTGTCCAGATATTTAATGTATAATGTGAACAGTTGTGGTCTCAACATGGACCCCTGCAGAACTGCTCTTGTTGCTGGCTGCCAACCTGAAAAAGGTGCCTTTATCCCACTTGATGCCTTCTGCCAGTCTACCAATCCTCTTATCCATGCCAGCACCTTGCTCCTAACACCACAAACTCTTATTTAGCAGGCTCCTATGAGGCACTTTGTCAAAGGCCATCTGGAAATCCAGATAGATCATGTCCACTGGCTCTCCTTTGTCTAACTTGCTTGTTACCTTCTCAAAGATTTTAACAGATTTGTCAGGCATGACCTCCCCTTGATGAAACCATGCTGACTAAGCCCTATTTTACCATTCACTTCCAAGTACTCTGCAATCTCATCCTTAATAATGGACTCTAATATTTTACCAACAAACAAGGTCAGGCTGACTGACCTGAGATAATAAGGTGTAGAGCTGGATGAACACAGCAGGTCAAGCAGCATCAGAGGAGCAGGAAGGCTAACTGACCTAAAGTTTCCTGTTTTCTGCCTGTTCTTTCTGAAAGAGGTGCTACGTTAGTCATTTTCCAGTCCTCTGGGACTGTCCTGACTGTAGTGATTCCTGAAAGATCATCACCAATTCCTCCACAATCTCTTCAGCTATCTCCTTCAGACACCTCAGGTATAGTCCATCTGGTCTGGGTGACTTATCCACCTTCAGGTTTCAACTTCCCCAGCACCTTTTACTTAGTGATCGCCTCTACATTTACCTCAGCCCCTGACTGTCTTGAAGTTCTGGTATGTTACTGATGTCTTCCACCATTAAGATTGATGCAAAGTACCTGTTCAGTTCCTCTGCCAGTTCTTTCCTCCCCATTACAACTTCTGCTGCCTCATTTTCCAGCGGTCCACTTTTGCCTCTCTCTTACCTTTTTATAACATGATTTGATCTCAACAGTGAAAAAAATAAGTGAAAATTTACAAACAGCTTTCTACCATTAAAGTGGACAGTTTTTTTTTAATTGCACACAATTGTTCAAAAATGTTTTCTAACTTAATATCCAAATGGCGATGTGATAGTGAACTGTTCCATTATAGAATTATTTTGAGGCATGAGCTGATGCTGAAGTGAATTGGGCTCTGATTCCCCATGCACTGAAGCCTATCATCCTATGCCTCACAGTGTGGGCAGACAGTAGGCATAGTGAGTGGGATCTGTGAACCAATTGTGCACACATTCTTAAGAACCAAAGATTGTTAATTCAGTATCCTAAACAACCCTTCAGTTGCTGAATGTCCACTTCCAATAGGTGATTCAGTGAAGTGAAGTGTGTTTTCAGGTTGACCTGTCACTAATAAGGGACCTCTCTAAAGAAATAACTTAGTGATTTAATTCCCCATGTGCTGTCCTATATCAGAAAATGATCATAAAATTCTAATGGTGTCACCCTTCACTAGCTGCTGGAGTACAACATTCTGAATTCTGACACTCTGTTCATTGTTGGGAACTCCTTTAGGATATTTTAGTAGTCTAACCTTCCACTATGGAGCAAGATCAACTAGCTCTTGGTTCAGGTACATAGCACCAAAGGAGGAGAGATCCTGATACTGGAACCACATTAGCAGCTTCTGTGAGCTTAGGGTGATACCAGCATGAAGGTTATTTGAACTGAAACTTAAGGAATTGCTCACGGATGTTAATGTGGAGATCCAGTTTTAACATCTTAATTTACAGTTTGGGTAAGAATTGTCATTATCATTGACAACCAATTATTCAAACATTATCCTCACTGTCCATCAGGATTGATGGTAATCTAAGTACTGCTAATTACAGAATTCTAATGTTCTCAATCTTAGTACTTGTACATTTTCCTAAAGTGTTAAACTTTTAATGTATTTCTTCTTTAACCTATTTTCTTTGACTTAAGTCATGAAAGAAATATGCAAACCCCTCTTGAAAAATGTTTGCCTCTGAGTGTTGCTAATGTTATTCTTATTG